ATCAGGGGCTTACAGGTATATTTTTCTCGTATAGATATTCTAATTAATTAAAATTAAAAATATTTCATATGTGTATACCTCCTCCTTGTGCTCCCTCTTGACCTCTTTGATATTCTTCGCCTGACTGTATAGCTTGTTGCATTTCTCGAGGAACAAATCCTAGTTTTTAAATTTTAAACATAAAATATTTCTACAGGCTGATTATTATTATTATTTGCTGATTATAGGAAATAAATGAAATTCAACTATTAAATAAATTTTATCATAGGATATATATTTGTTATTTAACTAATTTACAATTAACACTAATACCAGTCAGTGCGATTTAGATAAATTTCTATATAATTTTATAAATTTACAATAATATTTACCTTCTCCCTCATTATGGTATTGTTGCTTATGTTTTTTTGTTAGTATGTAGTTATTTCCATCAGATATAACTCGCCCTCCACAGTTTCTTTTATTACATACCCAATAAATATATTCATTTTTACCTTTTCTTTCTTCATTATATTCATAACCTTTCCAAACTAATTTATCATTCCCTTTTTTCGTTTTTATAATATAAGGCACTTCTTAAAAGCAATAATTAACTAACATATTTAAAAATGATTCCCCTTCGTAATAAATTCCCCTGTCACACTTACTACTCCAAATTACTGGCTCCAGGTTTAAATTTCTACATATAACTGGCCCAATATGAAAATATGAAGGCAGACATTAAGTCCGAAATCCGATTTTAAAAAGAAAGTTATTCAAATTTATTTTGATTTAAATTTTTCTAATTTAGAAAACAAAGCTCATTGTTGGAAATTTTAAAATATTACCAGTTATAATTCTTCTTTTGTTTAAGCAAGTGTGTTCAGATTTGAATGCAATATCAAACTTCAATTCTTTTAATTGATCATCGTTTAATTCTTTTAATTTTTCAAATTTAACTCCTTTTGTAACTACTTTTCCCGCACATCTAGAATTAGAGTATGTATTGCACACCCACCTGATAGTCTCCTTTTTATCATTATGACTATTATGTTTATATTCATAACCATCATATTTTAAATTACGTCCTCCTCTTTTATTTTTAACAAAAGAGAATTTTCCATCTTAAATTTGTAAAAATAACTTAATTTATTATTCATCATTTTTTATTACTTTCCCTTTTTACCTGTTTGATCTGATGGATTAGTTCCTTGAGGGTATTGACCAATCATATGTTGATGCTGAGTTCGATATAAAGACTGATCACTTCCAGGAGTTAAATCCAAATTTAACCAATCTTGAACAGATTCATGACCAGAAGGATTCGTTCTTTGAGGGTATTCTGCACTCATATGTTGATGTTGAGTTGAGTAAAAAGACTGATTACTGCCAAGTGTTAAATCCAAATTTAACCGATTTTGAGAAGTATCTTGACCAGAAGGATTAAAATGCTGATGTTGATATGGATAATTGCCATATCCTAATTGTAAATCCCACAAATTTCGAGGTACTTGACCAGACGGATTCGCTTGTAGGTGTTGAGTTGAGTTTAAATACGGATTATTGCCAAAACCTCGATTCAAATCAAACAAATTTTGAGAATGTTCTGTGCCAGAATACATTCCTTGAGAGTATCCTCCAGTACTTGAAGGTATGCTTCGAGTTCCAGTTCCTCCATGGCCACTAGTTCCTGTCCCGCTTGTTTCAACATCTCGATATTGAAAAGGATTGAAATAATTATGTTCCTCCTTTTCATCATCGCTATTAGTTACCGATACGCCTCTTAATCGCTAATGGTGTAGAATTGGGGAGAACCTTAAAAATTATTTTTTCCTGAAAATAATTTTGTATAGTTCCCGATATCCACCTTAATCCTCCAAATCCGCATTAACACCACCAGATCTTCAGATTAGATAATTATAGAGAGGGATTACGAGTAGTTAGAAGTATATCGGGGACTATCTAATCCCTGTAACTCCCTATTAATCTTTCCAGATCCTGCTTAATCGACCAATATTTCCCTTAATCAGTTAAATCCACTTAAATCCTTATTATATCGCTAAATCCGTTGAATAAAAAATATGACACCAAATTTTAATTATTTTTATTCAAAATAAAAGAATTTCGGCGAAAATCTAAAATTTGACATTTTTAAAATTTTGAAAAAACCGGGTCCGGGCCCGGTTGTAAAAAACCCGGGTTTTCGAAATTTCCGGGATTTCGAGGTTTTAGCCCGGAAAACCCGGCCCGCGTCAACTTGGGAGAATAAAACAGTACTTATTAGTTTCCCTCCCCCATTCAATTTTTTCGGTAAATATTTAAAAAATGGTCAGTCTGTCAGAGGTTGTATAACTCGTCGAGCTGTGTCGAATGACACCAAAATCAAAAAAATCCGACCTGAGTCCGATAGGTATACTAAATGTCATAATTTTGTCAAACCATATCCAATCATGTTGATTTTGGTGTCATTCGAATCTGCTCGACGAGCTCTTTCGAAAGAGTTATCATTTTATAAACTTTTTTTATTTCAAAAAATCACCATATGATTTTTCATTTTTCAGGGGTCTGTATCTCGGTCAAATCAGGTCGGATTTTTTAATTTTGGTATCATTCGACACAGCTCGACGAGTTCTACAACCTCTGACAGACTGACCATTTTTTAAATATTTACCGAAAAAATTGAATGGGGGAGGGAAACTAAATAAGTAGAGAATAAAACCCGGATACCGGGCCCGGCAAAGTGAAAAGTTCAAGCTCTAATAACAATGATGCCATTCTCTATATAAGAGAAAAACAAGCGAAAATTTCGAATTTTGTCCAAAACTTTTTTTTGTTTTAATTTAAAAAGCTGAAAATTGGTATACCTATGTAAAAATGTATTTCCGATCGGATAGTGTTTTCCGATTTTTGAAATTTCGACTTTTAAGGTCGAAAAGTCGAAATTTGTCGGAAATTGTATTTACATAATGAAATAAAAGAGAAAATAGAATAGATGTTTGGTGGTATAGTGGTTAGTGTGTTAGGTTTTGGTGGTGGGGTCGAGGGTTCGAATCCAAAATGCTCCAAATATTTTTTTCTTTATGAAAAAAATTATTTAAATCAGTTTTATGATTAAAATGTATTTTTAAAAATTTTTTAGTGTTTGGAGGGCATTTTATGGATTAAAAGGAATATTGCGTGATTAAGTGCGATATCTTCAAGTTGGAGTGATATTAGAAATTCGAGTTTAAGCGAATAAATGATTATAGAGGTCGTGCTTTGAAGCTATATAGAAGGATTAGATGGATTTAGTGGGATTAAAAGATTCATAGGGATTAAAAGATTTAAGGGATTAAAAGATTTGAGGGACAAAAAGATTTAGAGGGATTATGTGGATTTAGATGGATTAAAGATTTTAGGTGATCAAAAGTTGTAGAGGGATTAGGTGGATTAAATTATTAAAAAAAGATTCAGGCGTATTAGGTGGATTTAGAGGGATTAAGAGATTTGAGCGGACTAGATAGCTTTATAGAGATTATATGGATTTTAGGGGGATTAAAAGATTAAAAAAAGATTCAGAGGGATAAGATGATTTAAAGGGATTAGGTTGATCTAGAGCGATCAGGCGGATCTAGAGGAATTAAAAGATAGAGGGATTAAAAGATTTAAAGGAATTAAAATATTTAGAGGGATTAAAAGATAAAGTGTTTAAAAGATATAGAAATTAAAACATTTAGATGAATAAAAGATTTAGAGGGATTAAAAGATATATAGGGGATTAGAAATTATACGGAATATGAATTCTGTGTATGTTGAAAGATAGGCAATCACTGATAAGTCCAATTTTTATCTGCATACTTTTCAAGAACCTCTTTTTGTAAGTAATATTTTCTAGGCTCCGTGTTAAATGCGCCTTTGGCGCATTCAATCCAGTGCGCGGAGCGCGCTGGTTAAATAATAAGAGGGTGAGTTCAATCATTTTGGCCCTATTCTCGCTTTTCCCTTACTATTTCCTAATATGTAGAGTTAATTAGGTTTCAATATTTTCGGCCAGGTTGCTGTTTTTGTGGCGGTGGTTTTTGCCATGGGGACGTGGACTTAATCCGCCGATAACTTTCCAAATATATATATCAAAAATCCACATTTTTTTATAAAAAATGAGAAAAAATTATTCATCCCATAGCGGGATCAAAACACAAATCCGGTTTAAAAAATTTGAATGTTGTGACTTACAGTGGGTTTTTTTTTGCTGGACCGATTTAGACAAATGAGATGTCATTCGAAAGAGCTTCGAAAACTAAGTCGAAATAGATATGGGGGAAGTTTTATGACAAATGAGTCAGAAAACAATCACTTACGGAGACGGTACCTTTGGTGGAATTAACCCTAGAGTTAGTTGAAAGTCATTTCACGTGATTCCACTAAATTCTCTAATTTTTTAAAAATAATGTGAGAGTGGATATCCGGCAATCATTTCGGCCTGCTTTTAAAAGGCAATTCGAATGGGCAGGATATACAGAATAACGTGTCTTCACATTAAACACTCCATCTCTTTCCCTATTGACAAAATATTGAGTCTGAGATCAAGGAGTGTATCGATGGATTATAAGAATCGATGAGGATATATGCGGCTAATTTCTCTCTCTAGCGTAACAGCCCCCATAAGAGGAGAGCCTCCACTCAAAAAATTGCGGCCTTATCTCTACACGTTAACAGTAGCGTAAATCCAACTCATTTTTAATTGATTAATTTATTTCATCAATTTATTTTAATTGATTAATTAAATTTAAAAAATAAGTTTAATAAAAATTAATTTAAATAATTAGAAAATGGTGATTTATGATAAGTTAACTAACGATACTTCTACGTTTTGGAAAGCCTATCGACTTTAAGGTGCGATTCTTTTTAAATGGGCTTTATATTCGGGCTTTCGTCCAATGTAATTCGTTCTAAATACAAGATGCTTCGGGCCTTCGGCCCTCGCGAATCGTTTTTTAGCTTAAAAAAAGGCAAAGGCTATGGGCGTACTTCGAGTGATCCTATATGTTTAAATGCCTGAAGAAAAAGTTTATCATTGTCTCGACCCTCTTTAAATTGGGTTTTCAGCTCGTGTCTTCGGTGCTCGCAATTCGTTTTGAGATCGGTTCTTGCTCGCGCCTTCCGATTCTTTTTAGATGGGCTTTCTGTTCGGGCCTTCTGACGCTTCTAGAATGTTTACATGCCTTGCGATTTATTTTTGAATGGATTTATGCTCTGAAAATTTTTTATACAGCCAAGTGTTTTCAAAACTATTTCAAAAATAAATAAAAATCAATTTTAATATAATAAAAAACATAATATTAAGTAATTAACAAATATATAAAAAATATTTCGGTCTAAAAATTTTCTTTTTCCCTAACATAAGTTTCACAAATTCTGGCTGGTAGCATTAGGAGGAACTTGTACAACCATCTGCTTTCTTTTCCCATTTACAAAATAGTAAACAAACAATTTCAATGATTGATTTTATTTTAAAAGTCAATAAATATAAAAATTTACTTGCCGTTCTGAAGCTAATATGCGTTTCAGAAGGCAAAGTGTGGGCCGAGCAAAGGGTGAGCAATTAGAAAAGTTTTTATTATATTGCCCGTATAATTTTTGTCACCCTGTATTTGTATTCCAAGCGTCTATATTTCTAGTATTAACTCATTGCTTTTATCTGCGAAATACACTAAAAAACTGTATAGAAATCGCTCTGAATTGAATATCTTTTTATATTTGAAAAAATTTAGCATAAAAAGGGTGGCACTCAGATACCAGTAAAAAGGGATAAAAACAGATGTGACAATAAATTGAAGGATTATAGTGATAAATAAGAGTAGGTTGTGATGATTAAAGAATTAGAAATAGAAACTAATCAAAATGTTTTAAAACTAAAAATTTAAAGTTTAAAATAAAGCTATAATTGAAAATACTGGGGTTTTGGATACTTACATACAGTCGTCTACATAAAGATAGGGACAAGAGTAATTGAAATGATAATTAACTATTTTCTCGACAAAAAATAAGTTCTATATATCAATCGAAAGCTCTATTTGTATATCAGTTGACATGTTTCTGCATTTTTCATGAAATTGAAAATTTGCCGGGATATTGGCCGGGATTTTTTGACCGAAAAATAGTTGATTTTCATTTCAATTACTCTTGTCCCTATCTTTATGTCGACTACTGTACATGCTCAAATAATTACCAAGGATAATAAATGTTTAAACATCTAGCAAAAAGAGGTAATTAATTGAAAAGTATAATCATTTGAGTGATATTTGAACGTGCATTAGGCATTTGGGGGAAGTATTTATTGTTTCAACATGTCGCTGAGGGGAGTAATTAATCGAGATATTGTTATTTGTGGGAGAGCAATTATTCGAGCATATATCTTGAAAACTCTAAAAGAATGCATTGTCAACTATTTTTCAAACACCTTCCAATGTGTCATTTTATTGGATATTGACATTAAGCTGGATGCATTCTAATAGAGTTTTTCTGTACGTTATGTGGATTGAGGAAAGCTGAGCGTGGCCACTTGAGCGTCAGCCAAATTTGATCGCTATAACTTTTTTAAGCTTGATCAAATCCGAATCAATCATATATCATTCTAAGCCCAATCTTTAACCCAACTGAATGGATCAAATATAATCATTGGTTAAAAAGTTAAAACTCGATATGTGCAAAAAATCGTTGTTTTTCAGACATGTCGACTTGTAATTTTTTATAGAGCGGTCAAACTTGATTAATCCAATTGGGTTTCGAATATATATGAAACATTTGTATTAGATTCAGCAGGAATAAGTTATAGCCGAACAAATTTGGCTATTGCTCAAGCGGCCAGTTCCGGTTATGTTGATGTCTAATTTTTCTAAATCAAATTTTCTTATCATCAAATAGTGTTTCCAGCATGTTAGTCTAGAGCTTTTCCCTTTCCTTTATCTGTTGAAATTATTAAAATTTAGTTTTTTCACCTTATTTTTTAATTTTCGATAAAAAACCTCCAGGTCCTAGATTGCTTCCTCGGCGTTGTCTGCCTCGTTGACGAGAACTTCCTCCTGATTTATTATTTAATTCATTTATTTTTCTACGTTTATATTTTTAATTTCACTATTACAATATTTTGTCAAGAACAGATATTCTTTTTACCTTGATTTGACCCAGATCCTTGACCTTGGGCAGGTTCTAAATTATTAGAATTTATATTTATATAAAGTTATGCCGCTAACTTATGGTCTGACGCCCGTCATCGTGCCGGTTGGAGATATTCAGGATTGACTGAGGGAAGGATACTGGCAACATTTACTCTTTCTGGGACTGAACATATCTGAACCTAATCATTTTTGTTCAACCTTTGGTTAAATAATTGGGTAAATGGAGGGATGGAATAATAAAATACAAAGTTTACATTTTGGTAAAGTTGATGAATGGTTGGGATAATGTTGGGAAATAAATATTAAAAATACATGATTTTTTAATTTATTGGAATTTTTGTGAAGGATAAGTAATGGGAACGGAAATGAATTGCCAATAAAATGGTCAAAAATGGAATACTAATTGTAAAGGAAGGTTAGTTACTGGAAAAGTATAAGCCTAATAAAAATAAATTTTTCATTGTAAACAAAGTCGAGGCGGGACCTGAATAGAATGTTAATATAAAATCTCGAATTCGGGGTTTGCAAGAATATTTTTTCTCTAGTGTTGATATTCAAATTGATTAAAATTAAAAATATTTCATTTGTTTATACCTCCAATTATCACTCCACGCGTTGGAACTCGCCCTCCTTGATATTCTTCAGCAGACTGATTGATAGCTTGTTGTATTTCTCGAGCATCAAATCCTAGTTTTTAAATTTTAATCATAAAATAGTTCTACAACTAAATCACATTATTACTTATATAATCTTAATTTATAGGAATTTGTAATAAGACCCAGTTTCAAGTATCTTGGTTTGCGTGATCTTTAGCGTTCGGTTGTGACGGAGTGTAATCAATATATTGAGAATGTTGGGTGCTTTATTTATGTATATCCCATCCCCACCCATATACGAGTCTATATTTATAATTGTATAAATTTACAATAAAATTTACCTTCAACTCCATTATGGTATTGTGGATTATGTTTTGTTGTTAGTATGTATTTATTTCCTTCATATTCATATATAACTCGCCCTCCACACTTTCTTTTATTACATATGTAATGTATATTTCCATTTTTACTTTTTACTACTTCGTTGTATTCATAACCCTTCGAAACTAATTTATCCTTCCCTTTTTGCGATTGTATAATATAAGGCTCGTCTTAAAAACAATAATTAACTAACATATTTAAAAAATGATTCCCCTTAGTAATTATCACCGCTGGAAAAGGAATAAATTCCCCTGTCACACTTACTACTCCTCAAGTTACTGGCTCCAAGTCTAAATTTCTATTTATAACTGGCCCAATGTGAAAATATGAAAACAGACATTAGATCCGAAACCCGATTTTAAAAAGAAAGTAATTCAAATTTACATATATAAATTTTAAATTTTTTCTAATTTAGAAAGCAAAGCTCATTGCTGGAAATTTTAAAATATTACCAATTATAATTCTTTCATTTTTTGCACAAGTGTGTTCAGATTTAGATTCAATGTCAATCTTCATTTCTTTTAATTGATCATCTGTTAATTCTTTAAACTTTTCATATTTAACTCCTTTTGTAACTACTTTTCCCGCACATTTAGAATTAGAATATTTATTGCACAACCAATTGATAGTCTTCTGTTTATCATTATGACTATAATGTTTATATATATAACCATCATATTTTAAATTACGTCCTCCTCTTTTATTTTTAACAATAGAGAATTTGCCATCTTAAATTTGTAAAGTAAATTAATTCATTATTTTTCGAAATCATAAAATTTCCTATCTATTATTCGTTATAAAATGCTTGATTGATGTATAAAGAAGAAAAAAGGTGTGGTACGAAGTACGATTACGAGCAAATCTGAAATTTCTAAGCACTTGTCAAGAAGCCAGATTTTCAGAAGAAATGTAAGTAAAACAAAATATGTATTAACAGTGTTAGGCCAGGGTGTAAAATCAATGGATGATATTATTTAGGGGATTTTAGTAGATTCAGTGGTAGTGTACGGCTATAAAAACAATATCAAGGGTTAATGTGGAATCTGGGTGTATTTTTGTGAAGTTTGGTTGATTATGAGATGGATGGCTCGGCTATGTTTCGGCTTGGGATCTTTCCATGATAGTTCTATTCCATCTCCAATCTAATGAATTTTTCCACAGCACATACTATCCTATATTAAATTTAGAGTTCCCTGTCTGTTTGTTTGTTTGTCCGCAGCTTTGAATATTGCTGTGTTTGGCGTTGTGTTTATTTTTAATTAGAAATGACAAAATACCCCAAAAAGAAAATAGTGTGCTTTTAATTAGAAATAACAAAATATCCCAAAAAGAAAATAGTGTGTATTTAGAAAGTTAAGAAAGTAATGAGTTTTTTTAGAATTTGTTTTGCAATGTTTTTGGGTTTATTGTTTGTAGTGGCCAAGCCGGGAATGCCAAAAGAATGTCTGAAAAGACTATGCTAATGGATGGAAGTAGAGTTACATAAATGGGCATCAAAAAAGGGTCTTTAATGAGCAAGATAAAAGAGTGTCAATGCTTGAAAAACGGTCCTACAATGGTTTGAGATAGGAGGATCCATAGTGGTTGAGATAAGTGTCCGGCATTGTTTAAAAAAAGTTAAAAAGTTAACTCAATGTGTGATAGTATAAATGAGATAAATAAGTTAGTCTAACTAGAAAGTCTGACATAGTGTGACAATTGAAATTGAGAATAGAAAGTTCATAATTGATGATTGAGAATTGAAATTGAGTTAAAGAATTGATAAGTTGATAAAAATAATTAGATTAAAAAGTTGATAAGCTCATAAAAATAATTAGATAGTTAAAAGGTTGATAAGTTGAGAATAATAATTAGATAGTTGATAAAAATAATTAGGTAGATAATTGAAAAGTTGTCTAAAAGATAGTCTGACATAGTGTGATAATTACCTGTTTGATTAGAAGTATTCATTTCAGGATTTAAACCCAAATTTAACCAATTTTGAGAAGATTCTAGACCAGAAGGATTCGTTCCAAGAGGGTATTCTGCATTCATATGTTGACGTTGAGTTGGGTATAAAGACTGATTAGTGCCAAGAGTTAAATCCAAATTTAACCAATTTTGTGAAGATTCTTGACCAGAAGGATTAGTATGCTGATGTTGATATGGATAA